GTTTTATGAGATGGATCAGGTGGGATCCCATTGGTACTTGTGCTAACCGGATTCGATGTTGGGCATTATTCTCTTATGGAGATGAGAATCCTTTGATCCCATTGCTCTCCCCCTCTTCTAGGCAGGGAGGCAAGATTGGTTAGCAGGGATTGATGGCCTACCCATATTTAATCCTTCTAGGACATCTGTCATTGCTGGCTTATTTGAGATCTCGTCACTTTTTCAAATCAGAGAATAAGTCTAGCATTATTCATTCTACACGACTTCATATTTTTCTGTAGAACATTAGTATAGACGTTCTTTGCAGATTTCTAAGTCGTCGCATACGACTTGACGCCGTTCTTCGGGGACGTTACGATGCACATTACTTGCAAATCTATATTATCATCCCACACGACTTCACGTCGTTCTTCAGGAACGTTAGTATGGATGATCTATTAATCTATGTATCAATTCTCTGATGTAGGGGATCTTGATGAGACACTGTGGGGTCGTCCTACACGATTTCACGCCGTTCTTCAGGAACGGTAGTGTGGACGTTCTTTCCTCCCCCTAATGGCGGGAAGACAGTCTCATCAAAATGATAGTCCGCAATTTGAGCGGGTAAGAGATCGCCTGTCTAAGGTTCTAAATTTTAGTTGAAGATGGTGATACATAGTCCACATATATCTCATTGGATTACCTCCAGAAATGAATTGAATCATTACATGTATGTGCGTATGCTAACATATAATCAAATTACTTAACTTCGAGCAATCGACAACTTATGCTTCTGGCATACAAATTGTTGTTCTATATAACCGTGTTTGAAAATTCCTCTAATTTTCCCAATGTACGCTTCTGGCCGTACACGTTAGAGATGATGCACATATCAATTTCTTGTGTTCAGTGGTTTCAACAAAACATTTTTTTTGTAAATTTTGTTTTCCAGCGGTGGCCTGGGTGGTCGGAGCCCCGATTAGCTGACTCAACATTAGTTGACATTCACCTTTTTTTTTTTTTTTTTTTTTTTTTTTTTTTTTTTTTGCGGCTGGTCGTTGGAGATCCGGTTAGCTCACTCAACATTAGTTAACTTCAATTAGTTGACATTCTTTTTTTTTTTTTTTTTTTTTTTGCGGCGGCGGGTGTCGGAGCTCTGGTTAGGTAACTCAGTATTAGTTAACTTCAACATTACTTGACATTTGACATTCCATTTTTTTTTTACCTTTATCTTTTTTTTTTTCTTTTAATTTGTTTCCGGTGGTGGGTCGTCGAAGCTCCGGTTAGTTGACTCAACATTAGTTAACTTCAACTTTAGATGACACCTATTTTTTTTCTAGTGGCTGTTCGTCGGAGCTCTGGTTAGCTGACTCAACATTAGTCAACTTCAACATTAGTTGACATATCATTTATTTTCCCAGTGGCAAGTGGTCGGAGCTCAGATTAGTTGATTTGGATTAGCAGATTACGTATTAGCTGACTTCATCATTAGCTGACGTCCAACTTTTTTTCTTTTAAATTTTATTTTTTCTAGCAACGGGACGTCGAATATCTGATTAGCTGACTATGCATTAGTTCAATTTGCATTAGCTAACATCCGACCATTTTTTTTTAATATTTCCTTTTAACTCTTTTTTTTCGACGATGGGTATTTAGGGCTCCGATTAGCTGATTAAGCATTAGCTGGCACCCAACAATTTTAATGTTAATATTAAATTTAACCAATGTTGAAGTTAATAAATGCTGAGTGAGCTAATTAACCGGAGATCTGACGACCCATCGCCGAAAACAAAAATGTCTACCAACGTTAAAGTTAACTAATATTTAGTCAGTTATTGAAGCTACGATGACCCATCACCGGAAAAAAATAAAAGAAAATAAAAAAAGAAAAAAGAAAAAAAATGAATTGTTTAAAGTTAACTAATGTTGAAATTAACTAATTGTCGAGTCAGCTAACTGGAGCTCCGACGACCCGTCGCCAGAAAAAAAAAATTCTAAAAAAAGTGTCTACTAATATTAAAGTTAACTAATGTTGAGTCATCTAATCAGAACTCCGACGACCCACCACCTGAAAAAAAAATGGATTGTCTAAAGTTAACTAATGTTGAAGTTAACTAATGCTGAATCAACTAACTGTAGTTTCAACGACCCACTGCCGGGAAAAAAAAGGTTGGACCTATATGTAGTGAAATTTTAATTTATAGGTCTATGTCAAATTCACCCTTAATTTTAAAATGTTAGTTTTACATATTTGTAATATTTATATTATGTAAATATGCATATGTTTGTGTTATAATAGGTCATGTATCGTATGATACACGATATGTTATGGTATATGTTGAATGACCATCTCAACCAAAGCTTAAGCTGTTAGTGAAATGTATCATTTAGTTTTAATATCTCCAACACGCCCCCTCAAGTGCAGGCGAATTACATTTGAAGCCTTGCACTTGAAATATTTGAATTGGGTGGCGGTGGGATTCGAACTCAGGACCTTTCATTTGGCCTGACTCTAATACCATGTTGAATGACCATCTCAACCAAAAGCTTAAGCTGTTAGTAAAATGTATCATTTAGTATTAATATCTCCAACAGTATAAATGGAAAAGATTTGGTATACACAATTTGATAAAAATGGAGCAAATTAAACACCAATTCGAGTCCGACACCTATTCGTCGACAAGGCGCTATTTGGAGTTTGATTGGGCGATTATGACTTTCCAACCATGTGTGACATCATTGTCGCCATGCGTCGCACTTCTATTAGCTAATTATTTGTTCGAAATCGTGTCGTCCAATGGGAACATCACCATCTAGGTGGAATGCCACTTCAACAGAGGAAGTTAAAATAAATTTTGATGCATCGCTATACTCGGTCGAACATGGCTGTGGTTTAGGAGGTATAACAAGGTCTGCTGATGGTAGTTGTCTTGGCTGGTTCTCTATTTACTTCTCTCATCTCCTAGAAGCTACGTCGGCTGAGGCTATGGCAGCTTATAAAACATTAGAGTTTGTTTGGGACCATGGTTAGAATAAGTGTATATTGAAAGGTGATTCAAGCATAATTGTAGTTGCGATTGGGGGAGATATGGGTTCGCGAATGAATTATGGGAACATCATTGACGACATTAAAAGGTTAGCACAGAGTTTTGAATCTTTTCAAGTTTGTTACTTCAAGAGAGAAGGCAACCGTGCAGCTCATGAAATAGCTAGACTTTCATCTAAAGAGAACTTTAATTCCGCGTCGTTACCGAATTTTATTCTTGAAGTTGTAAACGCTGATTCTTTAAAGTAATGAAATTTTCTAGTTAGTTTGCTCAAACAAAATTTTTAATTCAATTATATCATAAAAAATAATCGATTTTAATTCAAATTATGCTCAAGTCCTCCCCAAGGCCCACGGCCCACATGGTCATGAGTGCGGGCCGAACGAGCAGCGACGACGAGCATGTGACTTTCGAAATAAGCGCACACTTGGCATGAATTTCACCACAGCTGATCCCTCTTGAGGGTTATGTGCTAGCTAACTATCTTAAGGTAATAACACATCATTTTCCAACATTTTATAAAGAATACCAATGATGATTTAGATGTTTTAGTGCAGTATAATTCATTTAATTTAAATGGATTTTTAGTTTTAAGAATATATATATTGGTATACTTATTATATAAGGAAAAAAAAATAGAGGCATAGAAAAAAGAGAACAATTTCCTCAAAGCATAGGGTGACAAATAATGAAGAGTCAAAGACAAAATAACAAGTAAATATAGCATAGTAGTTCCTAGTGGTTTGACCAGTAATTAACCAAACTATTGAGGTTATAATAGTAATATCACAACGCATCTTTAATTACATTAAGTTAATAGCTAATCATGCATCTATCTACAGAGACAGATATCTACTGACAAAATTATTCACCAATATCTTCATCTTTTAACTTAACAACAATAATATTAGTATAAATCATTTTTTTAATAACATAATATATTTTCTTAAATTGTAGAGAAAGATAGGTAGGAATATATATGTAATATAATATGATTCTTTTTGTTTGTATACACATAATATGTATTTTTTTTTGAATTTATAGAGAGAGAAATGTATATTAATTATTATGCATATGAATTAAATTATATAAGTATAATGTGTGTATATGTGAGAGAGATAGATTCCCCATGAAATGCAGAAAACCAGAGAGTGGGGTTTATAATGCCAATTGGTAAGCATGGCAGAGTGGTTATGCCAAGTGTTGAACACTTGCTATAAATCTTTACTTAACCCTGGTTTAACTTTTACCTCCATATATCTACCCCTGGTTAAATTCAAAACCCCTACCTATTTCTTTCTTTTCTAACATCTTTTTTTTGCTATTTTTTTTAATATCTATATTTATAATTATTTGTTTTTTTTTTCTTCATCTTTATTACTGTAATTGTTAAATTGGGCACTTCATAATTTTTTTTTTAAAAACAACCTTATAAATATACAATTAAAACATGTATTTACTAAAATAACCCTGGACATATAATTTTTGGACATAATTTTGCACCAATAAAAACCAGCAACTATCTCGTGCTATTGGAAAATAGCAATAGAATGACTCTCTCTCTCTAAAACCTCTCTCTCTCTATATATATATGTATGTATGTATTCTCTCTCTCTGTGTGTGTCTGATTAAGTGAATAGAGGAGACAATGAAAAAAATGAATGAATAAAACAGGTGAATCTATAACAAAAAAACGCAGAGAAGTTTGTATTTATTCCTCTATATATTTTCTCTCTCTACACTAAGCACATAAATTTTGGTAAAAACCAGCAGAAAATAAGGGTCTTTTTCTCCCCTGCTTTTCTTTTCTCCTTGATTCCACACCAACCCACCCATCTTCACACACATTTCCACTGCGTGTTGTGTGTCTTTCTTTTTGTTTTCTCTGTCTTCACTTATATATATATATATATATATATATCTATATATATACAGACAGACCCAGAGAGAGAGAGAGAAAACAATCTAGAGAGAGAAAATCAAGAGAGAGAGAAATGAAGAGGAGGCACCATTCCTCTTCTTGCTCCTCCTCTTCATCTTCTTCCTGCATCGAATCACCAATTACAGCAAACAACGAGCCTCTGAAAAAACCCAAACCCAAACGTGTTCGAGCCAAGAAAATTCCCACCACCACCGCCACCACCGCCGCCGCCGCAGCAGATAATTCCGCCGCCACCTCTGCTAAATCAAGAAGCTCCATTTACAGAGGCGTCACCAGGTACTTTACCTTTTTTCCTTCTTACACATGCAGGATTCCCGAAATTGGATTTTAATTGCTTGCATGCATGAAATTTCAAGATTTTGGACAAAGCCCACAACAATAAATCACAAAAACAAAAAAAATTGAATCTTTTTTTTTTTTTTTTTTTTTAATTTTTTTAAAAAATGGTTAAATTAGTGTAATGTGGTGGTGCAGGCATAGATGGACCGGGAGATTTGAAGCTCACCTATGGGACAAAACTACATGGAACAGCATTCAGAACAAGAAAGGAAGACAAAGTACTCATTTTTCTTTTTTTCTTTTTTTTTTTTAATTGATTAATTAATTATCTTAATTAATTGAAAAAGTTGCTTGAAATCAAGAAGGGATCTGCGATCTTAATTTAAATTAATCAATTATTTTAACCTGGCCCCCAGTGTATTTATTTGTTAATTATTCTTTTCATCTGCAGTCATTAGTATTTTAATTACTTCTGACTGTGTGTTTTTATTCTTGATGATGATCCCGGTCCATTTCGCAACGTTCGTTCTAACGCATTTGTCGCTGCCGCAGTCTATTTAGGTATAAATCTCACATTTTTCAATTAATTAATTTATTATTATTATTTGGATTATATATGGTTCAAATGTAGTTCAAGTACATTATATGTATTCAATTGCCTGCATGCAGATGTTTAGGCAAGAAAATAAATTTGAATTTAATTAGTGACTAATTATTAATTATCGTTAATTTAGGTGCCTACGACAACGAGGAAGATGCCGCCCGGACCTATGATTTAGCTGCCCTTAAGTATTGGGGACCAGCCAGTATCCTCAATTTTCCTGTAAGTATATATATTTGTGTGTGTGTGTGTGTGTGTGTGTTTCACTGTTACATTGCTTTGTTTCTTTTATATCAATGCTTTTTCGTTGTCCATATTCGATTTTTGATTTTTTCGTATTTAAGGGAAAAAAAGGCATATATGAGTAGGAAATATTGGGATAATTGCTACATTATTGCGGTGATAGAGTGGGGGCCGCCGGCTAACGTATTAAATTATGGCCGTTAATTAATTAATATTGTTTTGACTTATAATGCAGGTCGAGGGATACACCGGCGAGATTGAGGAGATGCAAAAGTTGACTAAGGAAGAGTATCTAGCTTCCCTCAGGCGGCGGAGCAGCGGATTTTCGAGGGGTGTTTCGAAATATCGTGGCGTGGCTAGGTAATTTAAAAAAAAAAAAATTAATAAAATTCATGTTGTTTTGTTTGCCGTTTTCGAGTACAATATAGATTCTTGGTGTATGTATATATGTATATATCTGGTCATGACTCATGACTTTTTGCTTTTCATGCTTTTCTCACACGAAAAATGAGTTGGTGAGAATCCACTACTCGTGTTTTATTGGTTGCGCGAAAAAAACGTGACGTTTTGTGTGATTTCGACATTAATTTTTGGCATTTTTCCACTTAAGGAAGAAACGACATTTTTTTTTTTTGAATTTTGAATAGGCACCATCACAACGGTCGGTGGGAGGCTCGGATTGGGCGCGTGTGCGGAAACAAGTATCTCTACCTAGGAACTTACAGTATGTTTCCTCAATTTATTACATAGTTTTTTCTTCTATTTCCACAAAAAAAAAAAATTATTTTTTTAATTTTTTATTTTAATATAAATGCTAGAAGTGTTAAAACAATTATTTATTTTTTAGTTAGCAAACCCCACATAATTGGCTGTAGAGATCTGATATTGGAAATCCATTTGCTTGTCTAGGACCACACCAAATAATTAAAAATAAAAATAAAGCTGACATGGCAAATTGCTGACTGGGTTAGGACTTCATAAATTATAAAATACTAAAAAATAATTAATATTTAATAAGACAACATTTTCAGGCCTTGAAAGAAAACTTTCCAGTTCAACTTTATGAATCTGGAAATATATTCCTCTGGTGGGCTGGTGGGTTGAGATTCAATTTTTATTTATTTATTTTTTTAAATCAATACCTATTTATTGAACTTGAAAATTTATTTTTTTCCAAGTACTAATATTAGTAGTGATAAGCAATGAAATTAGAAACAAAAAATTAGTCGCAACACGTAACGCACATATGAATGTGTGTGTGTGTTGAAAGTGTCGAGATTTCCACGAGACGATTTGGAAATAACTAAATTCAATATACATTTTATATAGTAATAGTTGTGGGGGTAATCACTAGCTAGTGTACTTATATAGTAATTAGTGGGCATACATTAACAACAATTAAGAGCTTGATTACTTGGATTACTTAATTAGAGAGATTGAATAGATTAATTACTATAATATCCTGCACATTATCTTAGATTAATTAATGTTTCCAAGCTCGTGATGCTGTCAGATTGTTTAAGCTAATAAACCTTTAATTCCCTATTAGAAAACATTATGTGTAATACTAATTCTCTAGTTAACTATTTTAGAGAAGTACGTACTCTAAGACCTCGTTTGGTTGGCAAAATATGATTAGCTAAATTAAGATTATACACAATCTTACTAGAATCCAATTGCGTAATTGAACTAGAGGAGGTTCGATACACAATTTCACCAATAAATCAAGATTAGATAGCTAGCCTGATCAAACATCAAATAAGGTCCAACTATTTAATTCACGACGACTTACCCTGACAACCAAACGAGGCATAACTCTTCAAAGAGAAAATTTCGGGACAATTTCCACTTTCGGTGCATTTGTTTATTCATTCACAAACATGCACTAGCACACACATAAACTCGATGCATCGAGTGGCTCTAGAATACTTTTTTCCTTGTCATTATTGCAATTTATAGTATGTATTTCAATTATCCGGAATTCTCAACGGAGTCTCGTTTTCTTTACCTAGGCACACAAGAGGAAGCAGCGGCAGCATACGACATGGCAGCAATAGAGTTCAGAGGTTCGAACGCAGTTACAAACTTCGACATCAGCAATTACGCGAACAAGCTCACAACCAAAGTCCAACCGGAGGTACAACTAATTAGGCAAGAAGAACAACTCCAAGTCAAGAAGGAAACAAATCCAATAATCCCCCTCGAAAACAACAACAACAATGTACAACCCGACGAAGCACGCGAATATCAAGAAGAATATGGAAACCAAGTTGTACTCGGCGACGAGCACCAACAAAGCATTCCGAAACTAGAGTCGATGATGGACTCGATTGTAATGGACCCCACGGAGGATCACGAGCACCCGTGGGACCTATGCCTCGACATCGGGTACAATATTCTCCCGATTCTCGATATGCCTATGGAGAAAGCTTCTGAAGTGCTCGATTATAAAGACTTTGAGGATAACATCGAGTGCATTTTCGACGACAACTTGTTCCTCGATGATATCATCAAGATCGACGGTTCGGATGGTTTGGTGGACGGGGATTTGAACGGCCAGGATGCGTTGACTTCTCCTTCTTCGTCGGAGTTGTCGAATACTACTGCATCGTCGTCGGTTTGCAGCAACGTTGTTATCTAGTGTTTTAATTTCTTGAAATAGTTTTTCGGGGTCTTCGAAACCTTAACTTGTGGTTCTAATTTAGTTATTTAGAAGAGATAAAAATGTAGAATTTCAGTGATTCTGCACACAAGTTGGGCAAGTCTTGGCTTGTGATGTGTTGTTTTTTATTTTGTTTAAATTAATTTCATGAGATTAGGTTGTTGGAACATTAGCTATGTTTATCACTAATAACTCTTGGATTGGTTAGTGGTTTTATAAAAAGAAATTGACTTCTTATTTTCTCCCGTTTACTTCATTCTGTTTACTTTAGTCATTAGAACCTCGACAAATTTATACTCGATGAATTAATAATCTTGCTTAAATAATACTTTCTTTCAGTTATGATTCGGTAAAAACATACTAAATTATCAACTCGATAATTTAGTATTTCGTTAAATTAATAGAATTTTGTTAGTTCTAACTGTATTAATTTATAAATATTTGTATTCGTAAGGTTTGAAACTTGGATATATTGGTAGGAAAAGGAAAAGGAAAAATGAATAAATAAATAAATAAATAAATAAATAAAAGCATGAAGTGTGTTTTCTCATTAAAATTCAAGGACCAAACATACGTCAGCAAAATATTCTAACTATTAGAAATGTAGAAAAATAAATTTGTGGAAGAAAAAAAAGAATGGGAATATTAGAGAAAACTCTTCACTATATTGAATAATTAAAGATAAGAAGTATTTTAGCCAAAATATGAAATACACAGTTACTATCTCCTTTTTCTAACATTACCCATCCTGCAAATAGTACTTGGATGATTTCTTAAACAATTGTTTAGCTTATTTTAATATCTTATAACTTGAGTGTATCTTTTTGTAGGTTATAATAGACATGTCAATTTTCTGCAACTAAAATTCATAATGGAAGCTTGACGGAGTTTGAATATGTTGGGGTTTTGACTTACATTGAGAGATGTTTATCTTGATCTGATGTCCTGTTTTGAGATACTTGGTTTAATTAAGGAAACTGAGTATCCGGGTACTAATCCGCTTTGGTTTAGAATACCATATGAAATTGAGCTCAAACTACTTGTTAATGACAATTAGAGCAAAAACTAAAATAACCAATTTTAAATATAAAAATGAGGAAAAAAATAAAAGTAAAAAATGAGGTACATTTAAGTTTCCAGCCCTTGCAAAGTATATTTTTAGCAAACAAAGGGGTAAAAATGGCAGAAAAAAAAACAAATGCTATAATAACTGCTCGTAATTGAGGGGTGTGTTTGGGACATATTCTATAATTTAGGGGTGCAAAGTAAATTTTGTCAAAAAACAAAAAATGCTTTAGCTGCTGCCTTTCTTCCCTGAAAACAAAAGTCACGTGCGTCTCACGTGACATGACCATATCCATAAAAAAATTGGCATTTTTCGGACATAAAATGTGGGCAAGAATATACAAGGACGAAATTAATCGAATAGTACAGTATATGGACTGAAATTGTAATTATCCTGCAGATTTAGACATAACTTCCAAGTTTTTTCTGCAATCATTTTTCATGTGCAATAACATGTACGAACAAAACATAGGAAATATCAAACATTAGATTAATAATTAATTCACATGCATTATATATATTTATTACACAACTCCCACAAATAACATATTGTCTTCACCATCTCAAAAACAAAAACACATGCAAGAAGAAGAAGAAAGCACAACCTCCCCCTCCATAATTAAGTCAAATACAATACTTGCTAAACTAAAGAGCTAGAGTTCAACACACAGTAAAACACACTTTATCTACAGCACATACTATATTAAGAAAGTTAAACGGGCACACGATGACGTGGCTTCTTACATAGCCTTTATGTAGTAGTAGGGATCTTTTGCACACACCTCTTAAAGGTACCACAAAGATACTTCCTGCCTCGACGAAGGATCCATGGACGACGACGAATAGTCGGCCTGCGTGAAATTGAACGGCGAGTCAAAACCGAATCCACCAATTTCCGTTGACGGGAAAGCGGATTCTTGAAACGGGCCCCGCCCACCAAACAAACCTCCCTGTTCGCCGAAATTACCGTCGTGCCCAATCTGCTGAGGTGGACGATTCTGATCTACAAGAGCATTGAAATTCCCGGAATCGAACCTACTGGTATTGGTATTATTATTATTATTGTTATTGTTATCATAGAAAGACATGAGCTCGTTAATCATTCTTTCGCCATCTTCCGGAAGCCCAAGTTCAGAAACATCTACACGAGCTGGCAGATTACTATTCGTCGGAGCAGAATTAAAGCGGAATTGGCAATTATTTTGATGATTGTTTCTCCACGTTCTGTCACTAAACCCCATTCGAAAATCACTGTGTGGGCACGGCACAAACTCGCACGTATACACGTTCCCCCCGTTTTGATTATTCTCCTCCTCCGCAGAAGAAACTTGTTTCCTTTTCGGGAAAAAATCCGAATCAACGTCAAAAATCTCTCCTTTAACCGGATTGAACGGTGGCACGACAAAAGTAGGCTCGTCTTTAGCCACAGAAACACCAAAACCGAAAAGATTCCTATCAAGGGTTTTCTTGCATTCCACTTCATCATCTTCCACATCATAGTCACTGCTATTATCACTAACCAAATACGATCCGGCCCCACCACCAATCAACGGCTGACAGCTGTCGGGGTACAGCTTCCTCGACAAACCCTCTTCGTGGTTAACAATCGAGAGCCAGGTGGCACTCTCTTTTGCAGTCATCTTATCCTGCAAGCACTTGGACTGGCGGACGAGCTTGCGTATTTTTGAAATATCGGGGGAGATGTGTTTGATCACAGCCGTTAAAACACTAACCTTCCACACCTTCTTCAGATCGTGCGGCTTCTTATACGGTGGTGGAGGAGATTCCCCTTCCGGCAACCCCAGCTGGGCCCACCACTCCTCCTCCCCGGTCGGCCACCACGGCGGCGGCACACCCTTCTCTAGTGGGAACCGCCGCTGCGGCGGATTGCAGTGCTGCATCAATGCCGACAGCAACGAACCCAATGTAGTGTCCTGAAGCTCCTGGAGCGTGCGGGGGGTCGAAACCACCGCACTTAACGACCCCTCATTGACTGTCCCGGGAATAGAATTCTCGGCGCTGTATTTAGCAATTGCGGCGGGCCCGTTCCGGTCGAACCGAACCCTCTCTTTCCACCAAGCGCGGAGATTGTCCGAAGCTCCAGTGACGGGCTTCCCGTTTTCAGGGATTATACCGTACACGAAGCCCTGTGCTTTGCACACTTCCATCATTTTCAGCATGTACTTCAAGATCCCGTCTTGGGCGCGGGACATTTTCTTCCTGCGCGCTTGCTCCTGGGAGTTACGGTGCGGCCTCGCAACGCCACCACCGTTGGTTTTGTTCTGCTGCTGCTCCTTGAGGCGTTTCAAGAGCATTCGGTCTTTCCACATACGTCTCTCCAGTTCGTCCACATCTAATTCTTCATCGCTGTAGTCTTCATCCACTGGATCGACCTCCGGGGTAATTTCGACTTCTCGAGGAGAGAGAAAATCGAGATTATCGGAAAAGCCCATTTCCTCGAAAATGCCCATTTTAGCACTGACTCAGCAGTCCAACAACCGTATTCAATCACACGTTCGCTTCTCTGTCACCCCTCTCGCACCGCTTAACAAAGACGGGTTTTATTTTTTTTCCCTGATACAAAACGCGGAAAGTTCGCCGAGTTAAATTCTCGGTATTATCCGGATCGTACATAATTAAATGAGAATTAAAAATAACCCCTCAATAAATCCCATTTATCTCTTCCTACAAGTTAATAAATTAAGTATCAAATCATCAATCGAAAGGGGGAATCTTCATAAATTATTAATCGAAACCGAAACCTCAATCGGTTGTCATGTGATCTTCAAAAACCCTAATAGAATCACTGATCTACAATCTCTTTTAAGGGAATACGAGATATTTATAGTTCCAATTAATAACATACGCAATTGAAAACTTAGAACATATAAAACGACACCGTATCATCACTAAATTTAGCAAAAAACCAAACATAATTCATTCTTGCCTGTAATACCATAAAGATCACCTAACAATCAAGAATTTTCACTCCACCTACCCCCAAGATGCGAACTTTACACCATAGAGTTGACACAAATTAAAATTAAAATAAATACAAAAAAAAAAAAAAAAAAAAAACCCATTAAATTCATAAATAAAACAGTGAATATAATTACACAGAAAGGCTTACCAATTTATTTATTTTCTTCTAAATTTTCTGAGTTTGGGAGGGTCAGCTGTCTTCTGCGTTTAGGTAGAGTAAGATAAAGAAGAATAAGAAAGTCTAGAGAGAGAAAGAAAGAGAGAGAGAGAGAGAGAAGAGAGAGAGCGTTTGGGGGTTTTTTTGGGTGGGGGTTTCTGCCTTTGTAAGAAAAGTGCGTGAGAAGGTGCGGAGAAATGGGGATTGAGGATTGAGCCGTAACGTAAATTAATCATGGTTTAGTTAATTCCATCACTTCATTTCCATCGTGGTCAACCCGTGTCCTGTTAATTACTTTTTGTATTATTATTATTGTTATTATTATTATTATTATTATTAGGGTAAATTACAAACACCCCTGAGGTATGTCAATTTACGAAAAAACCCCTCTTGTTTGGATAATTACATCTACCCCTCAACTATGATTTTTTCTTACATCTCCACCCTTATGGTGTCAAATTCAACATAATCATCTAGATTTCGTGGAATGTGTTCTAGTTTGTACTCGTTTTATGTAAAAATACAGTTTCTGATGCACCACAATGTGATACATTCAAGCCAAAAAGCACATATTATGATCATATCTTGCTTCAAAATGTGGAGTTCGAATATGATAAAACGGGTACAAAAGTGATAATATTCTATATAATCTCGAAGATTCCACTAAACTTTAAACCACAAGGGTGGACGTGTAAGAATATTGTGGTTGTAATTACTCAAACAAGAGGGGATCTTTATAATTTAACCATACATCAGGGGGTGGTTGTAATATACCCTTATTATTATTATTATGGGTAAATTACAACCACCCCTGAAGTATGATCAATTTACGAAACCCCCCATCTTGTTTGGATAATTACAACCACCCCTCAACTATATATTTTCTTACACGTCCACCCTTGCGGTTTCATATTTAGTGAAATCTTCGAGATTATATGGAATATTATCACTTTTGTACTCGTTTGGTCCCATTCGAACTCCACATTTTGAAGCAAGATGATCATGTTGTGTTTTTTGGCTTGTATATATTAAATTGTGATGCATCAGAAACTGTATTTTTGCACAAAATGAGTACACATTAGGGCACATTCCACGAAATCTAGATGATTATGTTAAATTTAACACCATAAGGGTAAATGTATAAGAAAAAATCATAGTTGAGAGGGGTATATATAATTATTCAAACAAGGGGTTTTTTTTTTCTCCATAAATTGACCATACATTGTAATTTACCTTATTACTGGGCACTGCAAAGGCCTTTATGCATATATATATACAGTGGCGTATCTACCATAGTCCTAGGGTGTGCAGTTGCACACCCTTGGATTAAAAAAAAAAAAAAATTATATATAATATTTTGGGGTTTTTTTTATATTTATAACTAATGAGGGGTTAAATTGAAATTTAGTAAAAATTAATACAGCCTTACCAGAGTCACAGACCCCTAATATGTTATTTTTTTTTTCTATTTTTTATGTATATACTCCTTTTTAAATTCCAAATCTTGTGTAAATAAATTGGCTTGTAGTTAATTGGTAGAAAGTTTTTAAAAGGAACAAGATTTAATTTTCATTACATACAATATTTCAATTGTTTTCAATTTTTTGAATATGTGGGTATTTTTGAATATTTTATATAATCTAAATTATTCAAAAATTCTTAATGTTATATATATATATATATATATATATATATATATATATATATATATATATATATATATATATATATATTATTTCAATTATTTTCTAAATTTACAACTATGTGGGCATTTTTTTTTATATTTTAAAAATTCAAAATCTGCTAATGAATTACATATTTTGTTACTTGCAACTTTAATATGTTTACCACTCCTTCAATATTTTCACCAATTTTATGTCTAAATATTTCTTAAATTAGTCCAAAATTTGTAAAATAATCCCTTTAAATTTGAAAATATTACATATTTTTATTATTTAATGTTGATAGTATTAAAAAAAAATCGGGGGCGCTGCCCCCGAACCCCCGTAAACTTTTACCCAACCATCATATTTTCTACTATATTTAATCCGAACACCCTTGGCAAAAATCCTGGATTCGCCACTATATATATATATATATTTTTTTTTTTTCTTACCTTAAAACTTAAAAGTTATATTGCCTGAAAAATATATATATTTTTTTATATATGAAATTAAAATTAAAACTTATAAATTTTTTTTAAGGTAGGTGTTCACATTGCCTGCGGGTATAGAGGTCTAGGTTTGAGAAAAAAAAATTTCAGTAAATTTATATATATATATATATATATATATATATATATATATATATATATATATATATATATATATATATATATATATATATATATATATATATTTTTTTTTTACCTTAAAACTTAAAAGTTATATTGCCTGAAAAGTTATAAAAATTTTTTTCAGTTAATTATGAAATTTTTTTATCATTTAATTTTTTTATTTTGTTTTTGATAAATTTACTGTACTGAAATTGACTATAGATGACTATAGTATACCACAGTCATGTATAGTTATATGTAATCATGTACTGTCTTTTTACCCAAAATTAATCTACACCAACAACAAAATTCACAATTTTAATCTTGATATTATAAATCAACTAAAAAAAAAAAAAAACACAATCACGTGCATATAATCTCCAAATCATGAACACGCATTACTATACAGTAAAAAACACATAACATACATATACTTATATGTTACTACACGTGACTATAGTTATATACAATTATCTATAGTTATATAAGTGGCATAAGTCTGGAGTACTATAGGATGAATGCAACTTCACATGACACTTCTCTGCATCTTATTCGTTGCATCTCATAATGTTATACAAAGCATAACCTGTGACAAAAAAATACAAGTTAAAAGAAACGAAGAACAAAATGGAACAAGCAAATTACATTACATGAAAAAACACAAAAAAACAATGAAAGACATTTTTTTGATAACTTTACTTTGATAAACTATAGTCACAAGTAGTTATGTGCATATTTTGTTACTGCATATTGTCAACTATAGTCAAATGTAGTTATGTTCATTCTTGTTACTGCATGTGACTATATATGACTATATGTACCTGACCACATGTGATTATATATGTATATAAATAAAATTCATATACACCACCAAAAAGTTTACAATTGAATGATGAATAAAACAATGTAGTTGAAAAAATAATATATTTAGTTACTGGAGTGAAATTTTATGATAGAAAATCATTTGATTTGTTGTATGTTCCAACTAGAGGGGCAAAAAGCCCATTTAGGGCTCAAAAGTCAAAACTCCTACACAGGGGTGGTGGACCTAAGGCTAGCCAACGGTGGGGCCTGCAGAAGAAAAAAAATGATTGCTTCTATGAAATTTTTAATTTTTTTTTTCATGCATTTAGGCTATTTGCCCCCAACAAAAATTAATAAAATCCACTTATAATATGTTACTTTATTTGAATGAGCTAAAATAATGATATATGGCTATAATATATTAGCTAAAATATTTTAAATATATATTTATTAATTGTTAATTCTTTAAAATACTCTAAAAATATTTCGGCACCTTTACGTCTGAACCCCGTAAACATATCCATTATAATCGAACCCGTCAAACCCCAACAAAAAGTTGTTGGGTCCGCCACTGCTCCTACATAATTGTTCAACATCGAATCTGTACAAGAAACTAGCAATCAAACTTACCTACAAATATGAGGTATTGTTCACTTGGTAAGTTAACTTTTTTCGGTTGATATTTAAGCCTTTACCAAATATCAATCTTGATGTCTAACATGAGCGTCAGAGTATAATCATCGGGCCATCCCGACGAGTCACTTAGTGTTTAATTTGTTTTGTAGGACCCTCGGTGTGTGACACCCCTTTTCTAATGTACACTTACTTAGTAATTTAGAATATGCTAGCGGAAGACTTTTAGAAAATAATGAGTGTGGAATGCTCGTTTTAAAAATCACCTCCTACAAATAGAAAGTTACGCATAATTTTTTTTTCTTTTCTTTTAAAATCAGAGGAAGAGTGTCCACATATTACCATATCATATATATATACATTTAACCAATTATCACAAAAGAGGCATGCATGACTAGTAATTTAAATTATCAAGAATAAAGAGAGAAATTTCGGACAGATTGGATAGATCAACTTAGAAAATTAATTTCTATTAAATCTTTCGTACAAAGACTTTGAAAATTAACCACATACTCTCATATGGGTCTAAATCACTCCTTTAAAACAGTTTGGAAATAACATAAACCATTTGAACGAAATAATTAAAGACATGCAACTGTACAGTTCTAGAATCCAGAACAGGGGAGGGAACTTTGAAAATTCCTTACAAATTCCATACTGTTCTAAACACTACCAAATTTTATACCAAAGTAGATAAGTGAGTTAGGAACATAAGCCAAGTTAAATGGATTCATTTGAGGAAGAAAAACTTCATATATTGATGCATGTCCTAGAATGACTCAGCATGTGCATAGTTATGGATATTAATTTATAATAAATTCGTGACTTATCCAAATGATGCAAAAGACCTACCAATATAACCGTAACAGAAAGACCTATGACTCTATAAAATTACATAAAATTCTAAATATAAAGTATATTTAATACGGATTATCGAACAACATGGCAGAACACAACATATAATTAACCGATAGACATTATATAGAAGTTTGGAAAAAAGAGGAAATCAAAATCCTTATTATTATTAGATGCAATGTTCTTACTAATAAGATGTTGGGATATATTATTTAATATATTATTTAATTGATTGTTTAGTTAGTATTTAATTATTAATTAATTAGAATAGTATATTTAGGATATATATTTAGCCGTGTGTTTAGTGATTAGGGATTATTAAGTATTTAATTAGTATAGGTAATTATGTTTCCTAGTTAGATTAGGATTCTAGGGTTTTATTCTCTTTAAATAGTCGTATTGTGCTAGGGTTTTAGAAGGCAGAGAGAAATATTAAAGAATATATCTTACGTTTCGTAGGAAATATTTATGATACTCAAGAGATCGCATCAACTGGTATCAGAGCGAAGTTGCGATTAACACCAACGCTTCGTTAGCAAGGCAGCGATTACATCAAAGCTACGCTGGAGCAAAGTTGAGATCACATCAA